AAAAGTTCATTCTGAAAGGAAAGCCAAGGGACTAAGACGGATCTGATATAGGTGGCACTGTTTAAATTAAAAGGCAGTGTCTTATTTTTTTCATCTCTTTCGATGAGTGTGAGGGTGTTTTCAAGGTTGACTGTAAGAATAATTAGGAACAAGTAATGCTTAACAAAATGAAAGTTTCAAGTGGCATTGTGTAATTAATCTTTCAAGACATTTGTGTACTACAGTTTAAAGCAAGGCTTTCAAAATTAACATCGACGAGTCTGTTAACCAGCAGGAACTAAACTGTGAGCTGTAACCACCCTTCACTTGTTACAGTTCCACTTAAGAGTGATTAAGCGTAAAATCTTTTTGTTTACAATCTATATGAGGGGAAAAAAAAAGTGAAATCGATGTTATCTTTCTTTTAATTTTAAAGTGTCAGCAACATTTTTCCTTAATAGCTTTAGACATGTCAAAGACCAAAGAGAGTCACGTCAGTCTGCCTGGGGCAGAATTCACATCCTACTCCAGGGAACTTTGCCGAAGCTTTGAACAAGGAAGATGGTGTATTCAAATATGTATTGCATGTTTTGAGACCATACAGTATACAAATGAAATGCTCCAGGATTATTCACATTTTGTGTGTATTTTCTTGCAGAGCTGTATACTCCCTAAAAGGTGATGATGTTGCGTTAGCTGGCTGCTGGCATGTACAGTAAAAGGTTTAGTAGTTAGTTCAAGATGAAATTAGTGGGAGTCTTGCTACATCTGTGTCAAGTTACCATCCATTTATGGTTTAGATAAATTACATGTCTATTTTGCTCTTCTGGAATGAATTGTGAATAAGATCATTGTCTCCCTATGTTATAGGAAATGAAAGTAGCTGTGGACTGGACTGTATTGAATTGGTAGCTAGAGTGCATAGCTGGTCATGTCACACAGTGTCTACAATGGAATAATGCCAGTCCATACAAAAATTAGTAGTTCTGTAAGACTCCATAGAAGGGCACTTTCCAATTTTTCTACTTTTTTTGTGGGGGGAAAAAAAAGCATTAAGAGGGACTGCTGTTGTGAGACTACATCCAACTGTAATGGATGTACTCCTGCCGTAGGTGTTCTAATAGTCCCCAAATATATTGGGTAAAATATTGTTTTGGTTCTGTGTTTGACAATCTACAATGATTTGTTCAGAGCTGCTAGCTGGGGTGTTACCAGCGGGGGACAGAACAGGGCTTTTTCATTTAAATTGAAACAAAATAGAGAAGAAAACCCACTATGAACAGTGTTCAGCAATTTTAATGTATCCAGGGTTAAAGACTGAAGTAATCCACTTGTGTTCTGAGATCTTTGTTATGGACTGTTTTGCTTACTTAAACTCTTGGTGTGTGTTAGTACATTGCTGTGCTGATATCCATTCTTTGTGCTATTATGAATATTAAATGACAGAACACATCCTTTTAATACTATTTAAAAAAGGAACACAAGTCCAAAGGGGTCTCTTGGGCCATCAAGTCAGCGCTGTTGTAGCAGGGGACCGTATCATCCCTTGATAAGCTATAAACTAGCCCAGAACTGTTTGCTAATTTTTCTGTTGAATTATTCGTGTGCTGTTTGGATTCAGTTACAGATGTTAATTAACACTAATAATCAAGGAAATGAGCCTTCAAATAAATATAAACATAGTGGGTGTAAACAGGTGAATAATACCTGCAACTAAGTTTTGGAGGTTTTTTTAATGCCTGGGAAGTATTTACCAGTTGCTCTGGCTCCTTTTCGTAATTGTCTGCCAATTGGGATGTCACATTATAGAAATATAAGGGATGAATTTTGCTATGGAAGAAGCCTTTTGGTTGGCAACTTGTTAGCTGACCCCCATCCCTGACAACTTATGTGAAGAGGGCTGTTACGCACGTCACAGCGTCAGGCTGTGAGCAGTCAGATTTCTGAATTTTGGCTTTTTGTCTATGCAAGGTCTCATGTAAATAACTGATTTCCTCACTCCTTTATAGCACTCAGCTAAAGTTTGTGCTTTGTAATATAGATCTTCAAAAGTCCTCTCCCAGAGAAGCAGATCTGACTCATGATGCCTGCATTAGTGGAGTGTTTTGGTAGTGTGCTGCTTCTGTGGTCGTTCTTGTTTGAGTTTGATAAACCTTTCTTTATTGTCAACTGAGATGATGTGATGTAAAGAAAATTGTTTTGTTCTTCAGCAGTAGAGAATGTAAGTGGAGGAGACAGGTTTGCTCTTTTTTATGTATTTGTTTATTTATTTTGGTGGAGAATTGTATATTTTTTTATAGCAATTGTATAATTATCTAGCCTTTTTCTGTGGGGGAAAATCTTTGTAACTACTCCTTTCTGCCTTGTTGTTTGCACTTATTTATGCTCTGGTCTGTTGTTGGTTATCTGTGTTCTTGAAATCTTCCTTGACTTGTGCTTTTTACAAGAGTGAGGATGAGGAAACAGACTGTAAACTAGCACCGCGGAGTACTGGCTTGTAAGTGTTACCGCAATGCAAATAAACATTAACAAATAGAAATTGGCCAAATTAAATAGCTCTCTTAGACTAACGCAGAATCTCAGATTCTTTAAGAAAGGCACTAAAGGCAATGTGACTGGCCTAGGCAGCACAAACTTGTCATGTTATTTTTCCCTGAGTATCTCAAAAATTGTGTCTTGGATTCTCCACCTATTAAATGAGCAAAAACTTCAGCTGAGTTCAAAGAGACATCAAAAGCGATGATTGCTGTAACACACAGAAAATGTATCAATACGATGAAAACCAACACAGATTCCTTCTGAATTAATAAATAATTGTTTGTGACTGTCTCCTAGTCTGATAACTTTAACTGTGCTTGCTCAAAACAAACCAACAAACAAAAAACAGTAGTGCAACCACTTCTACAGGTTTGCATTGGTAGATTATGCAGCAGGCTTGCATGTCTCTCATCAGTAGCTGCAAACTCTTCTGTAGAAACAGCAATATTCTTCTGCATCTCTGGTATGTCATACTGTTATCCTCAGCATTTCCATTTCACCACTCTGTGAGTATATACGCATGCTATGTGTGTTTGTATGTGCATATAACTATTCTCATGTCTTAAAAGGACTTCTGTTCAAAGTCAATTTTCTAAATGAGTATTAAGGGCGTTGTGGATTTATGAATTATATACGTTGAACCAGTAACTGTTCCCAAACCTCAGCATTCTGTTGTCTGAGATTTCAATAGGGATCTTTGGGTCATTAAGTTGAAGGACAATAATTCTATTGTTTGATAATCTGGTTATTTTGTGTGTCTGGCTTCATCAAAGAGATTCTTTTATTTCGGAGCCCAGTGTTTTCTGTGCTTGTCTTCAACACTTGTTAAGTTTGACTTTACAATATCTCAGAAAAATAAATCAGCTTCAAACTCCTAATTCGATACAACTACCCATAAAGAACTGGACTTCTTTTGTAATCAGATACTTGTGCTATGTAACATTGCACTGAAGGGAGACTTAACTGATTGCAGCAGTCTGTTGAAGTGCCATTTACCTGGGCCCATTGGCATCCAGCCCACAGGAGTGGTTTGATGAGCTACTGCTTTTAAAACTGAAACATTAGTTGTTCCTTTACAATGGTTTATCTTGCTGCATTAAGTTTGGCTTGACTACATTACAGAACTCCATTTTGGGAAGAAACAGAAGCTGATACTGGGAAAGGATTTACATTTGCCCCCAGGTTTCACTGGCAGGTTCACAGCAATGTCTGTGGAGCAGAAGGAAGACTATTTTCCCAAGTTTAAGAAAATTAGTTTTTCTTGCCACTGAGTACAGACTCTATACTTTCTTTCACTTACCTCTTTCACATTTCCATCCCGATAAATCATACTGGTGGCCATTCCAAATACCATTCTTTTTTTCTGTATTTAATATACACTAACCTGGAAGACATTTGCATTCATTGGCGTTTCTTCATGACTATTCATTTGTGGCTCTTCTTCACATACCGTTGCTGGGAATAGACTTGTGAAATATTTTGGGGATTCCGTTAGAGATTTTTCTCCCAGTATAAGTAGATAATATCTTACTGAACAAAAGCGAATTATCATTGCCAAATAGGAGGGGAAGGAGCTGGTCAAAATAAGGCGTGTTGTGTTTCATTACTTGTGGCTTGCTTTTGCTTGTTGCTAACTTGTTGAATAAAATGAGACAGGAATGTAATGGAGCAGCATTCATTTTGGATACATGGTTAAAAGTCTGACCAAATTTATTAAGAGCCTTTCTTGCTTCCTCTTCTGCCCACTATGGAGGAAACATTTTGGTTTAGCCATTAAATGTTCTGTATGCTTCAAGGCAAAGGGAACTTTAACTTCAAGCTGTAATTGATAAAGATTTTTATATAATTGCATTTGTTTTATTAAATAGTAAAGATGTCCCTGACTTCACTGGCAACACAGATGAACCCCTAGATTTTGGCAGTGAAAGTTTCAGGATTTTCATTAAAGTTGTCAAAGAAAATATTGTAGCTATCAAAATATTAGCACAGAAAAATATGGAAAGGCTGGTTAAGGGCAGAGGCAAATTCTCACATACCATCTTTATATAGTTAGTAACAAATATGTATGTATTATATATATATTTAAACAGCATAAATGTATTTGTATATGTAAATTATGTAAATAGGTAAAGTAAAACTTTGCAGTCTCCAAAAAAACACTATACCTTAACTCTTTCAGACTGTCACCATATGGGTTGCTTGTTTCTGTTACTGAAATGCCACCCACACCTATCTGCTTAGAAGCCCAGCGCTGACGAGTCTTCTGCTTTGTTGTCTGCTAAGGACCAGACAACATCATTTCTGACCCTTCTTAGCAAGTGTAGAGACTTCTGCCTCTGTTTAAGCAACACTAGGACCATCCATAATTTTCAAGTGCGACTTTACCTACTGCTAGTTACGAGTTTGACTAAAACCAGTATTTTCTTATTTTCTTGGCTTGTTGTAAAGCTCCCTGAATTCTTGCTTGCTTTTTTTTCCGCAGGATGTCTCATGTAAGTGAAATGTGGTGCTATCACTGGAAATGGAAGCTGCAGCACTGTCTCTGCTTGTTTACCACATATATTATATGCATGCAGCAAGCAGGTAAGTCAGCAAATTATCTTCTCGCTTAAATAAATGGTCTAGGAGACAAAGGATTATGCTTACGTATGACTGAATTATATACAAGATAACATTTTGATGTTTGGGTCGTATTTTCTGCTACTGCTGAATTTTATTTTTGTTGTTTTTTATCATTTTGCTGTTATTAATTGTTATTATTTTTTTGTTTGACTTTGTTCTTTGAATTCTTTCATTTTGCCTTTCCTTTGCTTTTACCGTGTTAATACCTACCTCTTTTTTGAATTTCTTTTGGTTGTTGGAATACTGCGAGTAATCACATAGTTCTTCCATTTTCCACAGTACTGCTTGTGCCTGTAGATTATGTATTCAGTAACGCTTCACTCTAGTTCAAAGCTGTAAAATAACTGTAGTGTGCTTATTATTTTTAAATGCTTTTATGACTCAAATAATAGAAACATTCCTCAGCTATATGTATGTAAGATAATCATACACTGTAAAGAACAATCAGTTTAAACTTAACATCATCTTGGTCTGTAGTGACACTTGAGTACAGAGTAATGTAACACATTCTGACTGTTTTCTTTGAACATATGAATGAGAGATTTCATTTACTAAATGTCTTTTCCTAACCACTAGAGTGCAAAATATTTTAGGAGCTCCAGCTGCTTCACTGGAAAAAAAACTCTGGAGTTTATTCTGGAGCATATGAAAATTTTGGAGCAGCTTGTAGTGCTCAGCTAATTCCATATCAGATGGGTAGTTTTGCTGTTACAGACTTGCCATTGGAAGAAGGATGGTTTATATGTAGAAAGTGTTTCCAGCTTCTTTGATATTGTTTTTTCTCTAAATAAAAAGTGCAGTGTTTTTTGTTTTGTTTTTTTAAACCTGCACTTTTTATTTAGAGAAAAAGCAGTGCAGTAGCTGTGCAGTAGTGGTTTCCAGCTTCATGTCACTTTAATAGGTGTCTTCCACTTCCATTAAATTGTGTAGCCAGAAATGTGCTTAGGACCTGACTCTCACCCATGGCTCCATCGGCTGATGGCCTTTGTGTGCCTGTTTTCCTGGGCCATATATGATCCTGGGCCATGCAGCTGCCATCCTCAGCATAAACAGCTCTAATCTACGGCTGCTATGGGCTGTTATCTGGTGACTAGAACATTAAGACCCAAAGACCATTAGTCTTTGCTAATTCCTCTTGATAAAAGTTTAGTTATTGAAAGTGCAGGTGACACAGCAAGACTAAGTCCCATGAGCCAGAAAGTCCTAGCCAGTATGCTGTGAGGACAGAGAAAGCCAACTACAAGCTCATCTGTGCCTTCAGCTAATCGCAGCATACCATTGCTACCTCTGCTGGTACTGAAGAAGTAGATGGGTCAAAAGGCCTATGCCAAACGCCAAGATACACTCCTACAAAATCATATATGCCCGTGGCTAACTGCTTCAGCAATTAAGTGGTTGGTGCCATTGAACTGGTAAAAGCAGCCAAAGTGTTCTAGCTAATTCGGTCTCCTCTATTATAGTTACTGTCTGTGCGCCTTTCTCAGGCGCTGGTTTGGCATGTAGGAGACTCAGAACCAGGTCTCTGATGGAAATCAGAGCAGAGACCTGCACCTGAGTCTTTTACATCTCAAGTGCGTGCCCCTGGGGGCCTTTTCTTTCTTGCTTCGACTGGAAAAGATTTCAAATCTTCAAAACTTTCAATAAATGGAAAAGACATTTCCCCATCTGCCTGAATGATGAGTAGATAAATAAGGTACACTGGAAACACCCAGGATCAATAGACAAATGTTTGCTGTTCAACAGTGAAAGAGATCATAGATACTCCGCTGTTAATACTCGACTGAAATGAAAATGAGACATTTACCTTTACAGCAACCTGTCATTTGGCAGTACTTGCCTGTAGACCCTCAGGGTTCATGTTTCTTTTTATGTTGATGTAAAAGCATAGGTTATGCTGCAAAATGGAGTCTTTTCATCTGTTCTTCTTAATAGAGCAAGGCAGATGCGGTGGGAAACACTGCTGCTCCTGTATTTTTTATTTTGTGTTCTTAAAAGGTATTGGTCACTTTGGCTGTGGATTCATATGGTATCCATAATCTCCCTGGCAGCTTAAGCTTTACTGAACTTAGAGTAGAAATATCAAAAAACCTGACATTCATCCAGCTTCACTAGTGAGCTGTAAGCTTAGAAAGCTATTGGGGCTTATTAAGCTTTGCCTAGAGGAGGTTACATACAAACGAGGGATTGAGGTCATCGGGTACAGGTTTTATGGCTTATTTAAGGGGCTATTCATAAGGATAAAAATTTCAGTCATACTGTGACATGGAAAAAATGCAAAAGTAATAATTTTATAGTTTAATTTGAGAAGAACTGCAGGACTTGGCCTGCTTTCAGAAACAAAGCTTAGGAGAAGGATTACACAGCAGAAAACTTAGAACAGGAGCGGGATGGTCTGTGAAAAGAATGTTTAGCCACAAATTGATCAGTAAGGTACTGCCAAGCAGGTGCAGTGGTGGAGTGTAATCCCAAAATATAGGTCTGGTACCTCAGAGGAATCAATGGATGGACTCTGACACTGAAACCAGAAAGAAACCATAAAAATAAAAAATAAATTATAAAAATACAACATCTCAGCAGCTGTAACTGTTTTGGTGTACTGGCTTCAGGTCAGGTGTTGTAACATGGGGCGAAGTTACAGAGCAGCGCAGTAAGCAACTTGACGGGTTTCCATTCCTGCCTGGGGTGGACATCCCTGATGGCCTTGAGTGAGTCATTTAGCTGTGCCTCAGTTTCCCTGCCTGTAACGAGTGTATGTCTTGCCTCCTATGTAAACAGCTCGCCTATCATCTTCCAGTGAAAGGACTGTGTAGAAGCTGAGGTGTTAGAATGGTGGTGTTTTAAACAGAATTAGTTAAATCCGCTTTTATTTGAGATTCAGACATTCCTAACTTTTCCTTTGTATGTACATTTAGCTGGTTTCAGAGAGCCCAAAAGAGAACAAAAAGAGTGAACAGAGTTCTGGAAAACATAACTAATGAGGGCAGACAGAAGGAACTAAGATTTTTTGGTCTAGAGTAGGCAGAAGGGAGAATGCATAAGAACGGAGAATATTTAAAGGGATATCTGCAGTGGGAAGGGACAGACTGATCTTTCTGGGCAGTTGAAAGGGCAAAAAGAATGGATTTAAATTACAGCAAGATAAATGAGGGGAGGACATCTCATCAAAATGTATTGATAGCAGTGGAATAGATTGCCAAGGAAGCTGGGAATCTCAGTCCTTGGGAATGTATAGTAGTATCTGCCAGAAATGGTTTAAATCTATAGTCCTCTCTCCTTGGGGCTGAGAAATACATTAGATGATTTCCACACTCCCCTAATTTCTAGAATGCTTCTTTAATCTTTGCCCTCTAGAATCTATTTTGGTTCAAAATCTGGGAAATGAGGAGATCCATTGGAAATTGCACTTTTCAGAATATGACAGTGCTTTTGCTGTACCTACAAAATTGTGTTGGTGTTTGTCCTGTTGCAATGGCCTCATTTTTATCTGACATAAGGAAGCAGCAGTTCAGTATGGAAAGTAAAAATTGGTTGTTTCAGGTGTGTGTAACCTCACAAAAAGTGTTTAGTTTAGTATCCCCTTGCTTTTTAGCTTTTCTGCTCTCATAGCAAAATGTCTAATGTTTCAATATTGTACCAGCTCTTGGTTTTGACTGTGCTCTCTATGGTAACCCAGGAGGAGAACTGGAGTTTTTTCAGTGACCTTAAAAGCAGATTCCAGTTTGCATAATTGCGTTCCAATCCAGTTTTCAAGTGTCTTGTCAGTACTGGACTTCCAGGGTTTTGAACACTTACACATTTTGAGGAGATTGCAAGATCCTTGTAAGAGTTTTTACCTTCTTCTGTCATCAACAGATACATAGTTATGTAAGAGTCAATAGCCGTTTTAAATTTTGACTACCATTCAGCCATGTTTAGTTTTATTCAGGATGTGGAAAATATTTATTTTAATAAAGCCGTGAGTACATCTACAATTCTTATTACACTATTTCTGCATTACGCCCCATACTGCTGTTATCGCAGAATTACTATGACTGTAGCTAATGCCAGAGCGAGCATTTGTCCTTTTGTTCATCCATCAGTAAAGAGCGCTGGTGTCTGTAGTCACGTTTCCATGTCCTCAGAGGGCTTTAATCAATCCCCAGGAGCTCACCGAAGAGTAAGTTTCAATTCTATTACAGTCCCTGAAATTTTAATTTCATTTTTTTTAGTGGTGATTCAAAGCAAAAATTTGTGCTGTTTTTAATTCATCGAGAGAAAGAGAGGTGAGAAAAAAGAATAAGACTGAAAGCAGGTCCTTCACCCACACGGCTGATAACAGTCTCCGATATAGGATCATCGCTGTCTGTCATGCCCTTTAACTGGGCCTGTGTAGACAAAGGAGGGATTAAAGTCCTCCCTTGCTCATGGGAGAGTTTCAGAGTGACCCTGTGGGCTCGGGACCCTAATAAGAGATGGGAAGGGAGTATGGTGGGAAGTATTGCTAACGCCGCCTGCACTAGCAGCAAGAGTTAGCCACGTTGCTGTCTGTGAAAATGGATTTATCTTGAACGGCCCAAGTCAGGAAGTATGTTTTTTCACCACAGATCAGAAACTGCCTACCCCAGCCAAGGGCCAAAGATCCTATTGCCGAGCAAATGATGAAATGGTTGTCAGCACATTCCCTTATCTTCCTCTCTCTTACCACGTGCACAGCAAGAATCAAAACGCCGAGACGTTAACCCAGTCAGCCAGCACCATCCTCCCGTATGGTGGGGAGGTGTGGGATGATTTTATAACGTTATTACTGGCGCTTTGTGAAACTTCTCCCATGGCGTCCCCGGGGTGTGAACGGGTGTGCATATATTGCTGAGCAGGGTGAATGTGACTGAGAGTGCTGTCCCTGACTCAGGCATGGAATTTCATGTTTCTGAAAGTTATGGAAAAACTCAGAAAACCTAAAAAGTTTTTAAAAAGTACTCCGT